ATGTTCAAAGGTATCCCAGAGCTGCATGCCCTCAATCACTTCTCAGAAGGTTAAAAGCCACCAATCTGATTCCTCAGGTTTTTGTCATTTCTAGAAGATACAGGGAGCCTGCACATTAAGATAGTAGCAGTCTTCTCATGTCTTCAAGTTATTTTAACTGTTTATAATTCTATTGGTCTGTTTGCTTTTTTTGGACTGAAATATAACAGCTGTGCTTTTTAAGTGCAAATATCTCTCCTGGGGAAAGAAAAATAAAAATCAATAGACTTAATGCAGCCTGTTCGAGAATGAAAAGAGATACGTTTCCTGTTGTGATCAAATATGCTTGTGAGCAGTGGAACTAACAAGGACAAGTTTCCGGTAGCTTTATGTCTCACACTCAAAATACTTTGTACCTGATAGGGTACAAGCTCTGATCAAAGCTTGTCTTGTGGTGGAAAGACTTGTAACATTTCTCTCATCTCTGAATTCTTCAGTATACAGCAATAAAAGCAGTTCCTGTTGCTATCTTCCCCTAAAGGGACTAGCAAATTTGAATCTCCCTCTCTACCTCATTGCCCGTTTTCCCCAAACTCACGTCAACATAATATTCCCGAGACCTCCAACTGTCTTTTAGGTTTGGTTGAAATTGGCCCGCAGTCTCAGTATTTTTTCTGCTCCTGTTTTGGTAGCAGCAGCAGCACAGCGTTGTGCATTTCGGTTTCCCCTAGCAGGCAATGTGAGACTGAGCCATAGAAGATATCTCTATTAGACACACCAGAGACAAATGAGGTCTGTGGCATCCTGGAGTGACCAGACAATCAGTTCCAAATTGGTTATGGTTTTCCTGCTGTTGTGTTTTTTTTAGTGAGGATCTGAATCACCAACTATTACAAGTTGTCACCGCAGTTCTCTACTTCCTCCTTGCCCCAGGTCGACTGCGCAGCAGGGTGCTACAGGCCTACTTAATTTATGCTGCTGGCCAACACACGTGCTGTTTCCTCATACAATTGGGCAAAATATTGAGCAAATTTTTGTTTGGATCACGCTATGCCATTCACATGACACTGTAGTCAGTAGGTCCTGTGACTGGCGCATTGAATTTATGAAGTAAGACAACAGCAGTCCTGTAACTAAAGATTCCAGTGTCAGGTTTGGGAAGATCCACGTAAGTGCCCTTGCCCAGGAGCTTCCACGCAACAAAGGCGTTGCAAGGTGTGGAGGGCAGAGCCCCAGTCAAGGCTAGAATCTGAACCTTCACTGTTAGGAGAGAAGGAAGAGGGGAAAAAACTAACCCTAGATGTTGGGCAGGCGATAAGAGGTGATTAGTTCAAGACTAAGTAACGGGAATTCTGTTTATGAACATCTGTTTATCATCTCCTATTGTTCTTGCTTGGTCACCACGCTGACGGCCACCGCTCCATCTGCGCCTGTCTGAAGCTTCTGGTTGGTTCCAGCCCCAAAGCTGTGATTCCCAGATCAGGAATCCTGAATCTGCCTTAGTTCAACATCCATCTAGCCCTCGATTATGTGGTATAATCATGGTTGCTTTGGGACAGCACCTGGAGAACTTTTCCAGGGTGCTCTCTATCCGAAGAGCATTGTAAGATTTCTGTGACTCGGGATCTCTCAGTACGCGTGCTGGTGACTCATGTGGGGCTTTTTTCTGGCTGGAGAATGGAAATTGATTCTATCACTGTCACATTGGTACACGCTCAGATTTGCATTCAGATATCTAATGCCTGGGGCTGAAGATTTTGCTGAAGACCTTAACTGCGTTAAGAAAGAACAAGTCTTCTGCATCGGGGTTCTGATGCAAGCAGGTTGCACGCAGCTTGCCTGTATTTTGAGAGTACCGACCAGCACACAAAGACTGTTCCTTCATCTTTCAAAACAGGATCCACCAGCCACAAAGGTGCTGTGGATAATGCTAAACTCCCATTACCACAGACATCAAATTCTTCCCCTTTTTAAAAAAAACCAACAAACCCAAACAGCATTATCAATGTGTTTCTGATAGCATAGTAGTCTATGGTCTAGTCATCCTGCACATTTTTAAAGCTTCAGTCCCTATTTTTTTTGGTGTTCTTTTCCCACCACAATATTGTGACGGACCCGTATAAGCCACCTGGAACTGTGGCCAGAATTAAAAGTAATATTCCCTAGTACATACAGTGAAATGAAATTACTCCAGTCTAAGTCATATTGAAGGCATTGGACAGAGAAAACTTTTTCCTTCTAACTTAAATTATTTCTAAAGCTCTAGCTTTAGGAAGCATCGATAAAAGAATACGTAACTGTGTGTCAGTAATACATCAATGATGTCTTCTTAAAAGGGCTCTCGTGCGAAAATATTGAGTAACATTCTGAGTGGGCAAAATCTTTAAGTGTAAATGGAAGTCACCGACCTGCAGAGTCCTAAGTTTTACAGCATCAAAGAATTGCTAGGTTATAGTTTACAGATACTGTTCAAATACTGGCAGGAGAAGTGATAGAAAGTAGCTTATGCAACAGCTTAGACATGTAAATTTTAAAAGAACTCTCTACATCACTTTTGTGCTTCATCGAGATACCCTGTTCATCTGTCCACGTAAAAACAAATGCAATGTCATACACAGAAACTGGGAGGTGGAATTTATAAAGTCTCCAGCACCGACTGACATCTGATATCATTAAAATGAAGCAAACAAAATCACATGAAGCATACACTTGAAAAACCCTAAAGCCCTGACTTCTTTATGCATCCAAGGGGGAAAATGTTTTTACAGTAATAGTGACCCCTGGTGGCTAAAAATAAAATAAAGTTAAAATACCATTTATAGACTTTGCGAGGGCTTTAGCTTCATATAATTGTATTCATACTGCAATATTTAGAACTGTGTATATATCTAAAGATTGTCTTGCAGTAAGGACTTTTTAGTGCTCTAAATACTCCGACAATAGTTTGCATAATTAGAGAAGTTTATATAGCAAGTTTTCTATATTGCAAGCCAGTTCACTTGCTGGATAGCAGTAACATCATGTCAATACACACGTTACAGTAACATCTCAAATGCGCAAATGCTTACCGCTTTACAAAGTTACTGCCAAGACTGAAAGAGTGTGTAGGGACTCTGTCACTTAATAGTATCTCCAACCACAGACCCCAAATTCCCTATTGCAATAAAAAGCATACATATGACAAGTCAGTGATAAAGAGTGGCAGAACAAATCATTCCTTGTCATAACAAAAAACAAATGAAAACCTGCATAAGCACACAATGTGTGATTTCTGGCCAACATAACTGGATTATGTATTTCTAGCCAAAATATTCTGTAACTTCATACGTAAATTGCAGAACTGTCACATTTCTTTTATCAAAATATAATGTTTTTCATCAAAGTTTGTGCTTGCACAAACTTAGTTTATTGTCATGATCAGTTTATTGTTATAGGAAGGGAATTTGCACTGAGCTGTAGGTAGTTCCCTGGTCTGGGGACACATCGGAGGGATATGCTGCTGGCTCAGGCACACCTCCCACGGACGATGGTGAGGGATGCTCCTGGAGCCCTAATTCAGGTAGGTGCAACAGCAACACGAGGCCTTGCCCTGGGGTGTTCCCACCAGGGCAGCACTCGCCCGTCCGCGTCAGCAGGACCCCTGCAGCTCTACAGTGCTTTTCTGAGGTTTTCAGGATGGTTTATTTGCCCCTCGGTACTCTCAGAGAAGAACTTGTGGGACGGCATTAGAGGGTACAGAGCACTGCAGCCATCGAGTCTGTTTCCTTTCAGTGTCAGGTGAAAAAGTGACATGAAAGGAGGACTCAGACTCCAGCTGCCACCTGTAGGTGGCAGGTTTAAGGCTTTATTACTCAGGTGAGAAGGTTTTGTGTGGGTAGGAGGGGCAGTGACGAAGGAAACACTCAGTATGATTCAGCTGAGAGAATCTGTGTGACGATAGTGCCATCTCACTTCTTGGGGTTAAGGGTGTGAGGTATGCGCGTGATGGGAGTCATGAGAATATAGAGTGGATGAGAATATGAGCTCCTTTCACTTTACAAAGAAACCCACTCCTTTGGAAGACGAACGTATTAGTCTTTTTCAGGGGCACAAGTGGCTGTGTGTCCCTCAGAAGGAGAGGACCCAGACAGAAGTTGCACACAAATGCATTTTATTGCTCTCTACAAAGACAGAGACGCATACACAGTATGCATATAAGCCATAGGGCTGTCCCAGGTGTGGGAGAAACATTATCCACCATGAATTCAACCACTTAATACAGACAAAAATCATTATTATAATGAAAATGCTAAAAAAAGCATAGCTTACACCCAAAATGTATAACATTGACCAATTAAGCCTTTTACCTACTACCTTTTCTTTAACATAAAGCAGTAACATACTCTTTTTCTAAATTGAAAAAAGCAGCAAAATAGTAGAAATATTCCACATAGTTTCCTAGCTTTTGTTCATCTGTCACACTTTATGTACTAGGACTATGAAAGGGTCACTGGGGGAATATCCAAAACAAAACAAAAACCGTCTTTGATGCTGTACAAGTTATAAGCAAACAGAGGGAAACTGTTTTTAATCAAGTGTGCATGAACCAAAGGGTAGTAAATTTATCCTCTGGAGTGACTAAGCGAACAAGCGTCGCTCGTCAAGCCAGAGCAGAGCTGATGGCTCTTACAAGCAATATTAGAGAAATCTCTCCTACAGCAATTCTTGTCCGTCACAACTGTAACATTTACAAAAAGACCCTCCTTCATTTTGAAGACACTCGCGCCCTGACGGGGCAGCGTGCTGTGGACTGCTGTCACCAGCCTCTACACAGCCTCAGTACCGCTCCACAGAATGCCTGCACTTTTGCCAAAGGATCCCTTAAAAGTCAAAAGTATGCCATTCTTTTCACACATAAATAAAATACACAAGGAAATAAAATTCCCTACAGAAGAGAGGACCAGAGCCGGACTATCAGATGCAGTCAGATCCTTCCTCTGGAATGTGAAAGGCAAAGGTCCGTGACGTAAGGACTCCCCTGACTACCAGGGTCTCCAGAGCGTACCGGCATCTTTCGGAGACGCTTGCTTCGGGGTGCTGGGGCTCCCAGGGGAAAAGGCAGCTTCCATAGCAGCTGACTGGCTCTTCTGGAAGTGGCTTAAAAGTTTCGTCTGTGTTTCAGTTCGGACTTTATGAAGAGAGAGGAAATGGAAAGCTTCTTGCAAACACCTAGAATAGCCCTCTCTGAAGTCAAACTGAGAGCTTTTATGGAAGGATCCTGCAGCTAGAGAAGAGAAGAGAAGAGAACAGGGAGGGGGAAGAAAGAACAGTTTAGAGCAATTGTTCATGGCTAGAGATTCATAAAACTCTCACAGATTTGCAGTAAGCTAGAGACTGAAACAGAATTCAATACTCACTCTTCATCTGCAGCTGGCTCTGCTGCTTCAGGTAGCTGACAGTCATCTCCAGGATGTCGGCCTTCTCCAGCTTGGAGTTGGGCTGGTGTCTCTGAAACTCCTTCTCCAGGAGCAGTTTCAGCTGCTCGATGCTGCTGTTAATCCGGTCACGGCGCATTTTCTCCACCACTGGCTTCCTCAGCTGTAAAAAGCAAAGGAAAAGAGAACTGTTATTAGAAGGATCTTCTCTCTGCCATAGCACAGGACTGTTTGTTGCCCACCACTGTTCCTAAACAATGTGGACCAGTTTCTCAGCTGGTGTAAACTGCTATGAGAACAGCTGAGAGCGTGGCTTGAAGCTGCCTTGCTGTGCCAGGACTTACTTTGTTTTTCTCCTTTGGTGTCAGCAGGTTGTCGGGCTCCATGAACGCAGTGCTGGGAGCCATCTGTCCCGAGAAAGGAAGGAAGGTCTCAGAGTGGAAGTCCAGGAGAAGCGTGTTGCTGGAACCTGCCTCTGCCCGATATTTATACTGTGCAACCTCGCTGAGAGTCTGTGGGTCTCCGGCTTGGTGGAGTTTCCCACACTCCAGAGCCAATCAGGGAGATAGGCAGCACAAAAGGAGAAGCATCTATTCTTGCATGCTCCATTGCCGGTGAATAGCCTGGGGATAATGACCTTCTCCCAGATGAGCAGGTGGGGAGTGTGTGGTACGTGAAAGGCTGGGATCAGAATTACGTGTCAGAAGCTGGGAAAGAGCTGGCCTTCAATGGGAAAAGGCTGCTGACTAATGCCGCAGATCAATAGCATTCCAGACGCAGCCTCGGGTTCACATGCGTGGAGGAAGGAGGAGGTCATGGCGGGAAATACAGCACTGCGCGGGGCTGCGCTCCTCTCCGGGGACGCCCGGAGGCACACGCTTTAGCACGCACAAATGCACATGCACACGCGAGCAGTTTCTGGCTTCCTGAGATAAACAGCAGAATTTCTTTAAATCCACTCATCTTGTTTTCTCAGTAAGCCAGAGCCAGTTGTTCTCCCTCAGGTGACTGTCACGCCAGTTTTGCCCATGTGAAACAGAAAACAGCTTTTCCAGTTTGGCTTACTGCAAATAAATACATTTAATTCTAAGTACACACAGTTACTGAAGATGTTTTCTGTTTTGATCTTTGTTCTCTTCCTTGATACCTTATGCACCTCTTTAGAACACACTATGTCACACCATGTCACAAGCACTTTATGTTTCTGTTTTCAAATACCTGGAAGATAAATCCACGAGGAGAAGGATCTTGGAGTCTTTTGGGATCAGTTCAGTCTCACATGCTGCTCTCTCACTTCCTCCCCGAAACGTGTTTTATTCTAATTATTTTCATTTAATCTAAGGACAAAGGAAAATTGTGTGCAGAAGACATTCACATAGCCCATAAAATTATTAGAAATCAAATTCCTGACTCCTCACTCTCCACTGGGGCGGTTTCTATGTTGAGATGCGCGGTCTTTGCTCAGTAGGTGCCTGCAGCTGGAAGAGTTAAGGGCCTCGCTATTTGTATCCTATAAACACACAGCCAGAGATTCGGGTTGGAAAACTCGAACCACATCTGCCTGCATTTATCCTGCCTTCTGCCCATGCAAGTACTGCTTCCTTTTACGATCTCTAACCTCGCATGAGCAGCTGAAGAAGGAAACGGCAGCAGAGTGTTTTCTGCATCCTCTGGCCATGCACCCTGGATGGGGTGGAACAAGGCTGACGGTGATGGTGCCCTCTTACCCCGTGAGAAGGGCGAAGCGGGCAGGCGGCAACATTAACCACACATCTAGAACCACGTGTTCTGGTCCCAGATTTACTCCAAAAGTGCTACGTGACCTAATCAGTTCGACGCACTTCTGTGGGAGCATCAGTATCTCCCTCTCTAAGATTCAATACAGGAATAATAATAATCAGATAAATTACTGTCAAGTAATGTTAGGGCTTATGTTTGGAATCTCTTACTGAAAAAGAAAGCGTAGTAAGTAAATACTGTTTGTGTACATGTGTGTTCATGTATATAGTAATATATATGTGTGTGTGGTCACGCATGTCTTTTAATGTGGATACACATACAAGGACACATTTCTCTCTTGCTCCGCAACTCATTATTTGTAAGACCAGGTAAGGCTTAAATGACCTCTTCCAGGATCTGCCCTTCCATCCCCATTGTACTGCTCTTGAATAGGCTCCCTTCTTTTCGTACAGAGCAGCAGCTGTTGAGCTCCGAGTCTTTTATGTCAAGTTGTGGGAAAGCTTTTGTGACACCATTTCACATGTTCTCTTCAAAGCTTGTGGATTATCTTTGAGCCCATGTAATGCCACCTCTGAAACCAATCTTTCGCTCTGTGCATCCTTCTTGGGGAGATTCTCTGAAACAGAAGCTCCTGAGTAGAAACTCATTTCTTGAGCTCATTAATCAAGTGCATGAAGAAGAAATGTGCCGGTCCCGTGATCAGCAGGGTCCACTAGCAGTTTTGCTAGAGACAGTTTCTGTTTTCCAGCTTAACTCACTAATAAGCAGCTATGAGAAAGCGATAATTTCCCCCTCCAGCACAAGTCACATAAACAGGCGCTCCACTTTTAGTCCAACAAAGCTGTTTAAAGCGTCAGATGCCTTCCCTGAAATCACCCGCAGTGCACAACAAGAAACAAGCCTACTTCTCAGAAATCTGTGCATTATTGCATTCTTGCACCTTAGGACTT